GGAGACAGGAGCGGGTGGAGGATACGGGCCCAGCGGGCGCACGGACCATGGCCTCCAAGTGCCCCAAGTGTGACAAGACCGTGTACTTCGGTGAGTGCCCAGGCCCGGCCAGCGCCCCGCCGCCCTTCGCGGTCAGCTCCCTGCTGCAGATCCGCGCGCCCGTCGCACTACTCCGAGAGCGCCCGGCCGCCGCCCCATGATGCGCGGTCCCGACCCAGCTTGCCGTGCTGCCCACGCGGGTGCGGTGGGAGGGTGGAGCGGCGACGAGGTTGGGGCGGCTACTCCCGAACCCCGAAGCGGCCAATATGGGCGGGGTGGGGCCTGGAGGCCAGTCGGGCAGGGGCGCGTTGTTCCCCCCGGGATGAGCCCGGATTTGGGGAATCTCTCTCTGGGGTCGCGGGCGCATCGCGGTCCTCCAGGCGGTGCCGAGCGGGGCGAGGTTAGGCAGGGCAGCACGCTCGCTTGGGGCCCCTCTCGAACGCTCCTGCCCTTCTCGGCCCTTCCACACGGACCCCAGCCCCGCGGACACGTGGCCCGGCCGGCGTCGCCCCCAACCGTGACCCCCAACCCTCACCCCGACCTCTGCCCACGCAGGGCTGGACCAGATCTGGGCTCCGTCTGGACTCAGTCCACGCGGGGGCGACCTTGGCCTCTACTTCCAGCGTGTCCCAACGCATTCCCTTCCTTGGCACAAGTTCTCCCGGGACTTAACTGCGGGTGGGGTGGGGTGACAAGCGAGTCCCCACAAGCAGGAGAGGACGCTGGAGCCCAAGTGGCCAGGCCCCTTTCTTCCTCAAGGTTAGAACAGCGGCAGACAGGAGGAGGTAGGATGGGGGCTGTCTCTGCCAGGATGCCCCGTGGGTAGGCGGCACCCCCAGCACTTGTTCATCCACTCCCTGGCGCTCCCACCCTGACTTCTGGTTTACTCCACCACTTTCCCTCATCCTGGCTGATGCCGCAGAATCCCTGCCCACCCACCCTCCTCACAAGACCCACACAGACCGACCTACGGACTTAGTGGCAGAAGCCAGCATGGCCAGAAGGGCAGGGACGGACAGGGACAGACAGGGGACCCTTCTCTTGTCATCCTAGGGACAGTGGTCAGGTCTGGGATGGCCACAGGCCAAGATGAAGATGGCTACTTGGCTTCCCCTTTGACCAGCGGGAGGAGGAGGAGGCCAGTGTTGTTTGCTGTTCCCAGAGGGGAGGGACCGGATTTGGCCTGGAGTGCTTCTGGCCTGGCTGGATGCCTAGGGGCTTCCGGCTGCCTCCTGAGGCGGGAGCCTGCCCAGCCCTCTGTCCTCATCCCAGAGAGGGCTCATCCCTGTAAGGCTCAGGGTGGGGGACACTCCCACAGTCCTCCTGCCAGCCCTACTGCCCACAACTGTGCCCCTGGCCAGGCCAGCTCAGAGCCGGGCCGACAGTCCGGTGGACAACCCGGAAAAGCGCTTCTGCCCACTTGGGCGGCCGCTGGCTCCCAGCAGAAAACAAAGGCAGCTCAGACTCCCCTGGCTTCTGTCCTGGTCTGGAGGCACTCGTGGAGGCAGGGGCCGGGGGTGGGGGTGGCGGCAGCATTCTGCCACCTCCAATCAGGGTGCACCCCAGCCAACACCCCAAGTGTGCGCACAGTGGAACCCAGGCCAGGACACCCCAGAGTGACTTCAGGATGTCGAGGCTTTGTGTCCCCAACAGCTGTGCAGCCGCGTAGGGGCTAGCTCCCTTCCAAGCCATTATTAGCTTCATCGATTCTGCCTCCTCAACTGGGCCCATTGACCTGCCCAGTGGGTCTGAGGGTCATTCTCCTGCCCCCAGGTGGCCACACCCTCAGGGCCAGCCAGCCAGTACAGTGTGGTTCTGGCAGCCCTGAGCTGCAGCTGCCGCGGCCGCCACTGGGCAGCAGGAGAACGGGGAGAGGATGCCAGGCTGGCATGGGATCCGAGCCTGCACTGGGCTTGGCCAGCTCCCATCTGCCCTGGCATGGACGGCAGAGAGACCTGGCCAGCCTGTGTCCCAGCCTCCTTAGGCGGAGTGGCCAGAGGGATCTAAGCCTGTGCTGCCCCCAGGGAAGGGGGTGGCGGGTGGTCCTGGAGGCTGCCCGGACTCAGTGCCATCTGACAGCACCCACTGGTCTTCCAGGGCTGGGGTGTCCTGGTCAGGCTCTCTCTCCCTGCTCTGCTAGGAGGCCTCTCTGTGAGGGGGACCAGAAGAGCCTCTGGTCCTTGGCCTCCACTTGGGGATTGGCCAGATTCTGCCAGGGTGGGAGGGGCCCAGTTCACCGGACCCCCATCCTCCCTGTGCCTCTGACCGGGCATTTTTCCAGTTGGGAGGAATTCCAGCACAGCCCCAACTCTGGCCTTTCTTCCTGTCCTCTCCGCCCTTTTCCTGCTGTGCTCCCCTGGGGAAGCCCCAGCTTCCGTCCATTGGGAGGTGGCCCAGCAGCCCCAGCACCAGGTAGGGGGGACAGGGAGGGCCCTCAGCAGCTGGTGACCCTCAGCAGCTGGTCTCAGACCTTGGATGCCCAAGCAGCAGCCAGCCGGAGGCAGAGTAGGGGTGGGGGTTGGCTCTCAGCTTAGGGTGAGGAAGCCAAATATAGACAGGCAGGCATCCTGTCCCACCAGCGTCCCACAGGGCCACAGGAACTGCCCTCTCCATAGGAGTCTGGAGGCCCGAGGCCACTTCCTTCAGCAGGAGGGCTCTTCCAACTCCATTAGGGCCCGATTGGAGGGTTTGGGAATGTGTGTGAGGGAGGAATAGGTGTGTGTGAGGGAAGCAGGTATCTAGGAGATGCAGGTGTGTGCGAGGCAGGTGTTTGAGGGAGGGGCAGGTGTGATGCTGAGGGGTTCACAGGTGCTTGAGCTGGGACCCTGTACAAGTTGCCCACTCCAGCCCGTAACCCAGGGTGAGGAGGGTGCCTGCGACATAAAGGGAGAGCAGGACCCCTGAGGAATGGACGGTGGTTTTGGCATAGAGTGGGTGGACTCCACTGCTCCCAGGTGAGGATGAAGGGGGCAGGGTAGGGGGTCTGCCCAGGACTGGGGTGGACAGAAGGGGTGGCGGAGCGTGGGAGGGCGGGGGCCTCCGGCTTTGACCTCCCCTCCCGCCCCAGCTGAGAAGGTGAGCTCCCTGGGCAAGGACTGGCACAGATTCTGCCTCAGGTGCGAGCACTGCGGCAAGACACTGACCCCCGGGGGCCACGCCGAGGTGAGCCTCCCTGCCCCCACTCCCGGGCTGGGCGGGGGAGCCCGGGCACCCAGGCCAAGGCGCCAGCCCTGACCCCGTGCCCCTCTGCCCAGCACGACGGGAAGCCGTTCTGCCACAAGCCCTGCTATGCCACGCTGTTTGGACCCAAAGGTGAGCCTGGGCCCAGCCAGCCCCACCCCTAGCCCCGCCGCGATCTGCTCTGGACCGGGGAGGAGTGG